TTTTTTTTTACAGAGAGGAAGGGAGAGGGAGAAGAATAGAGAGTTAGAAACATCGATGAGGGAGAAACATCAATCAGCTGCCTCCTGCACATCCCCTACTGGGAATGTGCCCGCAACCAAGGTACATGCCCTTGACCAGAATCAAACCTGGGACCCTTCAGTCTGCAGGCTGACGCTCTATCCACTGAGCCAAACCAGTTAGGGCCAAATATGTATATATATTTTAAAAAGCCTTCAGCGACCCCCACTTTCAACAGGATGCACTCTAAACCCTCTAGTCCAGCTTCTGCAGGCTGGTTTCTGACTGTGCAATCCCATCTCCTGCACCCCACCCAGCAAGCTCATCTAAGATTACTCCATATTTCTCAGGTCATGCCCTTCCTACCTCTGCTTTGGGCCTCAGTTTACCTTTTGGCTTCTGCATGAGCCGCCCCCACCACCCGCGAATCTTCTCCACCACTTAGTGATTAAACGCCTCCATTTCCTTCGGGTTCCCTCAAACCTTGTTTCTTTCAATCTTCTGCTCTTTACGGAGAAAGAAATAATTCTTCTCTCTCCCCTGAAGGGTATTTGGAAATGTGATTTAGCACTCAACACAGGGTTGTATCAAAGTTACTTAGGTGTGTTATTCATTTCCAGCAGATTATGAAATCTCAAAGCCAGCAACCGTGGACTTTTCATCCTCGAACCCCAAGGGCTCCAGAATTGAGCTTTATACCAAGAGTTGCTTTTAAAGGTGAATTCCATTGATTTTCTCTTGGTCATTTCAGGGCCCTGGCGAGGCAGGTGAAGCAGAGATCCCCAACCTGTGCGCCACTCGGCCATCAGCCAGCTTACCTCCCCTCAATGGGGCCCAGGATGCCAGGGGGGCCACCCCCCCACTCCGCCTACCTCTGCCCAGAGGCCTCCCGCACTGCACTCTGGGCAGGAACGGAGTGGCTGACCGGTGGGAACCACGCCTGCCTGCCTGCCACTGTCCAGCGTGAAATCAGATAGTGAGTGCCTTCCTCACTGAGCGTTCCTGCTAAACCTGTTCTCTCCCTGCAGGAACCCTCTCACCTGGGGAGGAAGAAGCTCAGAGACTCGATGTTGGCTGATCAAATCCGCCTCCCTCCGGCCTGGCCTTCCCTTGGTGGCAGCAGGGCTCAGCCTCTGGAGAGGGGGCTGCGCCCTGAGCTCGCGGCCCTGGCCTCGGTGTGCTTGCCGCTTGCCTGTAGGGGAAGAGGGCTTCTCTGGGCTTCAGCCAGAGACCCCGCAAAGCAGCCACAAAATGCCTCTGGCCCAGCCCAGGCTGCTCTGAGCTCTCTCGGGGCCCGGACACCTCTGTATTTTCCGTCTGTGTTGTCCACCCGCGGCAAGACTATGGGAGATGGAGCAAGTGGGGGAGGTGGCGAAGGTGAAGGTGAACAGGATCAGTGGGGGATTCCGCGAGGTGGATGGTTATCTCACAGAGATGCCTCTGGGTTAATGAGAAATCATCTCCAAAATACTCCCGTGTGAGCGCACAGAAGTGATGCCCTTCCCGGTAAAGCAATCAAGCCGCCAGGCGTGGCTGTGGAGTTGGCGTCACTGTTTCCAGCTGGCAGGTCACCGAAGCTGCAGAGAAAATGCCCACCGTAATGGCAGGTGGGTTTTCCAGGTGTACAAGGTGGTGTCCTCTCCATAGAGCACAAGCAAACCTTAAGAATCCTCCGTGCTGGCCCGCGTGGCTCAGTGGTTGAGCATCGAGCTATGAACCAGGAAGTCGCCGTTCCGCCTCTGGGTTAATGATAAATTATCTCCAAAATACTCCCGTGTGAGCGCACAGAAGTGATGCCCTTCCCGGTAAAGCAATCAAGCCGCCAGGCGTGGCTGCGGAGTTGGCATCACTGTTTCCAGCTGGCAGGTCACCGAAGCTGCAGAGAAAATTCCCGCTGTAATGGCAGGTGGGTTTCCCAGGTGTACAAGGTGGCGTCCTCTCCATAGAGCACAAGCAAACCTTAAGAATCCTCCATGCTGGCCGGCGTGGCTCAGTGGTTGAGCATCGCGTTATGAACCAGGAGGTTGTCGTTCCATTCCCGGTCAGGGCACATGCCCAGGTTGCAGACTCAACCCCTAGTAGAGGGGAGCAGGTAGGGATCGTGCAGGAGGCAGCCAATCAATGATTCTCTCATCATTGATCTATCTCTCTCTCCTTTCCTCTCTGAAATCTATCTATCTATCTATCTATCTATCTATCTATCTATCTATCTATCTATCTATCTATCATCTATGATGTCTGTCTTCATGGCAAGAGATGAATTCCAAGGAGCTGCACTCCCAGAACCACTGGGATTCAGGACTTAATATGAACGTGGTTTGGTTTAAAAATACACCTGTGTAAAAGCTAAGTCCCCAGGAGGACAGTGTGAGTTCCCAAAGGCACGGCCCAGGCTAGAGCTCAGATGTCCCAGCACCCTAACCTGCATCTCCGCCACACGACCACCACCAGACTCGGGTGCTGGGCTCTGTCCGCGGCTCCGCCCTGCTCCTCCCCTGCCCTCCTCCCACCCCTCCGCTGCCTCTGTTTTCCAGAAGCTGGAAGCCTGAAGGTTGTGCTTCTCAGAATCCCTGCCAGGGCGGTTGTGGGTTAGGCTGCAACCACGAGAGGCGAGCGCAGAACCTGGAGAGCAGAGGAGAGGGGAGCCCAGCGCTTGCAGCAGCAGGAGGGGGTTGCGTGGACTCGGGAGAAGGTAGATGCCACCCTGTGGGCAGCCCCCAGGTGACCTTGGGATCATGCCCCTCCGGATGCAGCAGCCACGAATGTCGGTGATGTTCCTGCAGCGCCCTAGCTTTCCCTGAGCTTTGCTCCCCAGCCCAGCCTCTAATTTCCTACATCGAGTCCCTTCCAACTAGATGTACACGGGCTAGTGTCTGATCCCCGACCGCCCTGACAGGCCTTCACCCTGCAGGTTGCTCCTAAGTTACCAATCACACACGTCGCTTGCAGGGCGGGGAGTGAGTGAGCGAGGCAGGGAGCCTACCTGGAGCTTCTTCAGAAGACCACCTGCTCCCCAAAGAGCAGGGCTTCTCCCACCAGGTCCGACTCCTCTACCGAGACGCGCGGCTCCATGCTTGAGTGATCTTAACACAGAAAGTGAAGGAAGTGGGTCAGCGTGCTAGTCATCCATGCAGACACGGGAACACTAGAGCACATACATGTGTCAGAGTCTCGGGCGCCATGGCCCTTTGGCAATCCGGGAAACCTTCAGACTCCTCCTTAGAAAGATGTCTTTAAATGCACAAACCAAAATATAATTTACCGCAAAAGAAAGCAATTTAAATACCGTTCTCAAAATAATAAAATTCAAATTGTGATCTGAGTGTATATATATATAT